AAAACGATTTAAAAATTGTAACTTCAAGGCCCTCTGGAGCCCAAACGAAGCAACTTTGTACTAAGGTAATTTTACTTAAATCGACTTATTTTGGTCTAAGGAATATGTGGTATGTTTTTGTAAAGACCTTTTACAGACACCCATAATTACTATTATTTATGGACATTTGTATGTCTATAAATTACATATCATGGATATAAAATAGATATCCACCATGGACTGGACATTCAGTGGATATTGGGATATCCAGTAGATATCCAAAGGATTTGCTGTGCTGTCTGGGTATGGATTCTGCTGACTCACCAAATACTCCTTGCAGACGCTGAATAATTTCACATCTTTCCCCAAAAAGAAAATCAAATTTTGCTATGAAAACACGTCTATATCAGTCGAACACCTAAATCAAACTGAACAATATTGCACTAGATAGTTGTAAAAACATGTCAAGACTTGTCTTGCACCAATAACATTCCCTATGAATTCTCCGTAATTTCATTATAGCACAATTCCGAGAACTTTGAAAACATTCCTCGTAGATACACGATTTAATTTGCAGTGTGGCAACTGTATAAATCACGAATCGTAGATATACGTACCTATTTATTTATTTATTTGTTACACCACCCAACAGTAATCACCATTTACTGGGTGGAAAAGACAAGAAAACATTAAAATATAAATACAAAATTGTTAAAAACCTATACAATACAATGTAAACATCCAGAAAAAAACTGACCGAACACAGGATAAAAAAAAATGGTTGTCTACATTGCATTACATGCTGTACATCATTTTTTTTACATTTACAAAGAAAAAACATTTTTAATCATATGTTTTTTACATGCAAAAATGTCCAAGCTGTCTTGAATTTCATGATATTTCTGAATAGATTGGTACATTGGAGATGAGTTTAAAACATTAGTTCTAGAAGCAGGCATGTAGAAACTCAAGTAAACTCTTAATCCAGCACGGGGGATTTTTAGATTGACGTAATTTAACAAATCAATACTGTCGACTGAGCCATTTAAAAGATTATAAAGTAGGAGTACCTGTTGGAAATTTCTGCGTATCACGAGCTCTGAAAGATTGAATCTAGATATTAGTAAAGCGTGGGGATATCCCCTTGCAGGGTATATACCATCTAAAACATAGGAAGCCGATTTCATGAATTTTCTTTGAACTTTTTCGAGTAAATCAGTATAAATGTTATGCACGGGATTCCAAACAACAGAACAGTATTCAAGTTTTGACCGTACAAAGCTAATATACAGGGTGTCCTTTAAAATGTGTCCCAAAATTCTCAGGCAGATTCCTTAACCAAAAAATGGAAAAAAAGTTCCTATAGACCTATGTCCTAAAGTGCCCCCTAAGCGAGCAACAGCCTCTCGAAATCATTTTTTTTATTTTGATTTTTTGAATTTTCTTAAAAATGGAAACAAATAAAAGAACCAAATTTTGGCTGTTAAATATGATCAATAATAGTGACCTTTTGACACCTTCAAAAAGAAATTATTTCGTCAGGGGTGTACTTGGGAATTTTTTGAAAATTTTGATTATTCATAACTTTTTTGTGTTTTTGGTAATGACTTATCCATATTTTTTTTACATTCTACATTGAAAACTACGTCAAAAAGGAATACTTGTTTGATCTCGATTGGAGCAGCCGTTTCCGAGAAAACATCATCCAAAGATATTCGTGCAGTTTAGGTTAATTTTCAATTTTGGCTGTTGTAGCCAAAAAGTTGGAAATCGAGGAACACGGCTTACATGTCCCTATCCTTACTTTTGAAGGTCTATTCAGTGGCAAAAAATATTAGTTGATACAGGGTGATCAAAAATCGGATGTGATTTTGGATTTTTGATCACCCTGTATCAAATAATATGTATTTTATGTCACTGAATAGACCTTAAAAAGTTAGGATAGGCACTGTAAGCCGTTTTCCTCGATTTCCAACTGTTTGGCTACAACAGCCACCTGAATTTGAAAAAATGTGATTTTTGAGTAGCTGTAGATCCTTTACTATTCATATTAGATAACAAGTGTGATATATCATTGAAATCAGATTATCGAGCAGATTCTAAAAATATAAAAATATACAGGGTGTTCCATTTAAAAAACATAACTTTGATTTGGCACGGCCTTATGAAACACCCTGTCACATCGTAACTAATTTTAAAATGTGAAGCTTAAAGCTGCCTACTTTTATTATAACAGATCTACAGAGCTTCCTCACACTAATCAATCACCCTGTATACTATTTTTAGCTCTCTAAATAAAATTTAAAAATTTAGTTCCCATTTATTTATTATGAAGACCATAAGGTTTGTATTTAGCTGTTTAGAATAAAAAAGTAAAAATATGTATTTTTTTGGCGTTTTTGTGTTTCATGGATAATTTTTTTCGCTCACTGATAAAAATGTTTCTTCAGTTAAACATTATTTCTAAAAGTGTTCTGGTGCGATTCGTTGTATTGTTATTATTTTGTTTAAAATGGCTCACAATAACTACAATAATGATTACACATTCGGCGAAATGACGGACATGCACTTATGTTTTGGACTCGCTTCTGGAAATGCCAATGAAGCTCGCAGACTTTATCAGGAGCGCTTTCCAAATAGGCATCTTCCATGCGCCAAGACGTTTTCTAGAATTGACGATAGACTTCGGGAAACTGGTACATTTAAGAAAAACTCTAGTAACAGTGGAAGATAAAATTATGTGAGAACTCCTGCTTTGGAAGAAGCAATTTTGGATAGGGTAGCTGAAACCCCATCGACAAGTACCAGAAAAATAGCAAATGGTAAGTAATTACTTATTTATTATTTTAGCTACCCCGTACCTTATCGTATAAAACTAGTTTTTTTACTTGTTATTGCTTCTCTTACATTTCACGACTTTTCGTATCGAAAAGAGTTGCGTTATGCAGAAAAAATCTGATTTCCCAAATCAATGGATTCTCTTTCTTAACTATTCACTACACAGATTCTCTCATTTAATTTCAGAAGTGGGAGTCGGACGTAACACGGTATGGAAAGTTTTGCGTGAACAACAATTGTACCCTTACCACATTCAAAAAGTTCAGGCACTTAAAGCTACTGATTATGAGCCGCGAGTTATCTTTTCTGAATGGTTTCTTGGAAGATGTAATCAAGATGCAATGTTTCTTAATAAAGTGCTATTTACCGATGAAGCTGGTTTCACTAGAGATGGTATAATAAATTTTCGAAATATGCATGAATGCGCTGAAGATAACCCTCACGCGGTTGTTGAACGTCACCACCAGGATAAATTTTCAATAAACGTCTGGGCTGGAGTTATTGATAATTACCTTATTGGACCATTTGTTTTGCCGAATAGGTTAAATGGAGCAGCATACAGGCTTTTTTTGGAAAATAACTTACATGAGCTTCTTGATAATATTCCGATTCAAATCAGACATAACATGTGGTTTATGCATGATGGAGCTCCACCACATTACAGCCTTGAAGCTAGACAGCACCTTAACGAAAGATTTGAGGGTAGAGTAATTGGCAGAGGTTGTCCTGTTAACTGGCCACCTCGTTCACCAGATCTAAATCCAATGGATTTTGTAGTTTGGGGTTATTTAAAATCATTGGTTTATTCCAGTCCTGTTGAAACAGTTGAAGAATTGGAAGAACGAGTTTTTCATCATTGCGAAGTTCTTAGGAATAATCCTGAAGTATTTTTTCGTGTAAGACAGTCTATGATGCGACGGTTGCGCTTGTGTGTGGAAACCAATGGTCGCCACATTGAGCATCTGCTTTAATTTTTTTTGATTTGTTTTTTTAGAATAAATATTTTTTTAAACCGTTTCTTATTATTAAATAAAAATAGTCCCACCACGACATTTGAACTACAATTATTTAGAGAGAGCTAAAAAAGTTATTTTTATTTACGAGATTCACCGAGGTAATTTAGGAAAATTGAAAATTAAGCTAAAGTGGACGAATATCTTTGGATGATGTTTTCTCGGAAACGGCTGCTCCAATCGAGATCAAACAAGTATTCCTTTTTGACGTAGTTTTCAATGTAGAATGTAAAAAAAAATATGGATAAGTCATTACCAAAAACACAAAAAAGTTATGAATAATCAAAATTTTCAAAAAATTCCCAAGTACACCCCTGACGAAATAATTTCTTTTTGAAGGTGTCAAAAGGTCACTATTATTGATCATATTTAACAGCCAAAATTTGGTTCTTTTATTTGTTTCCATTTTTAAGAAAATTCAAAAAATCAAAATAAAAAAAATGATTTCGAGAGGCTGTTGCTCGCTTAGGGGGCACTTTAGGACATAGGTCTATAGGAACTTTTTTTCCATTTTTTGGTTAAGGAATCTGCCTGAGAATTTTGGGACACATTTTAAAGGACACCCTGTATAAAGTTTTTAAGGTGACTATGTCTCGGAATTCTTTACAGCTTCGAATAACAAACCCTAAGCTCTTGTTAGCAGCAGATAACATCGTTTCAATGTGTTTAACGAAAGATAGTTCAGGATCAAAATAAACTCCGAGATCTCTTATACATTCGGGTCGATTTAGAACAATGTTCTGTAGTTTGTAATCAAAAATTATAGGTATTACTTTTTTAGTAAACGACATTACGGAACATTTCTAAGGATTTAGAGGGAGTGAATTATCGAGACACCACTTCGCAATGTCGGACAAACACTTTTGAAGTCGCAAGCAATGGTTAACAGAATTGATTTCAAGCAATAATTTTAGGTCGTCGGCATGATTGATACGCGTCGATTTTATTGTGTAGGCATCTCGTTCTTTCTAATGCGGCAGCCGAATCGACAGCTATGTCTGTCTATAGATGAACATTTGCAAGTATGCGAGGACTTAATTGAAAGTTAAACAATTTTCTTTAAATTTCTTGTTTAATCAGATCACTCGTTACTATACACGCGCATCAAAGTCGTAATTGTTAAAAAATTAAAATGCATTTGAATAAAAAGTTTATTTACATATTTCCAAAAAAAAAAAATACATATTCAAATAATAAAAATATTTTACATTATCTAAGAGATAAAAGAAGAATAAGTAGAAGCAACGACTTTTACGCAATCAAACCAAACCACCCTAAACCCCGTACGTCATATTTTATTCACTATCTCATAAACGTCGCAACGTCTTTGGTTAAAAATGGGAATCTGCTGTCTGACCTCATCGCACTCGGTCATGTCGATGTCAGCGTATACGATCTCCTCGTTCTCTTTGGCCTGAGCGATGACTTTACCCCAGGGGCTGGTAACTTGTGAAAATCCGTAAGCTTTGTACCCCTTTTCGCTGCGGGCTGGTGACACAGCGCAAACGTACACCTGATTGTCCGCTGCCCTAGCTCTTTGCAGGAGCTCGAAGTGCATTGGACCGGTAGTCGTGTTAAAGGCGGCTAAAACAATGGACAATTTTTATATTTGTTGTTTAAATTTATGTTTGAGTGTATGATGTTCAGATCTACCGCTTATATAGTGCCCATAAACAATAAGGTTCCATCAAGTTTATTAATAAAAAAGAATACAATTTGGTATATTTAGAACCAGAGCTTAAGACTATGTGGGTCTTACAAGGTACAAATTTTATAATATCATATCACAGAAGAAGAATTCGGTACCTGCTTGGTTATAATAATAACAATACTTTTACAAAATAACTAATAATTAAAAAAAAATACAATAATTTAATATCACACTATTACTTAAACCCTTTTTAAACATGAAGATATCAACTAAGAAAATTCTATTAAGTGAGCTTTTAGTTTTTTTTTTAAAAGAGGGCACTCCTTATGTTGTTTATGGTGCTAGGAAGCTCATTGTATTGTCTTAGACCATCAGATAGTATGCTTCGGTCACCAAAGCATGTTCTTACGGCTGTGGTTCTGAAGCAGCGATTATTCCGAGTATTATATCTATGGATATCATAGGAAGTAGTCAGATGTATGGATGAGTGTATATTATTCAGAAATACATTATGAATAAAAATGCATGTCTGATATTTAGAGAGGGACTGAATGTCTAGAATATTATTCGGACGATACAAAAGATCAGTAGGATGACAAAAAGAAAGTTGAAAAGCTTTTCTGATTGCTCTATTCTGTAGAATTTGCAAGGGCTTTAGTCTATTTTGGGAAGTTTTTCTCCAAATAAGAGTTAAATATGATGGATGTGAATGAATTAGTGAATGATACAGAGTCTTCCTGACTTAAGTCAGCTGAAAGGTAGCAGGCAACATGTCCCAATACTCCAATGGCAGGACTAATTTTTTTACACAATTAAGCAATATGATGTTCCCAGTTGAGCTTGGAATCTATGTATAAGCCAGGATATTTAATGCATTCTGTCCTAGTCAACTGTTCATTGTCTATATTTATTTGGAATTCGTTCCATTCAGGCTTTTTTGATATCACTAAAAAACTTGACTTTTCAGTATTCAGAGTTAATTTATGAAACTTTAACCACTCAAGAATTTGAATTAGATCTTGCTCTATAATATGTTTTATTTCGTCTGTATCTCTTCCAAAATAGATGAGACACGCGTCGTCAGCATAAAGTTGCAAATAACCAGCTAATGGTAGCTGAGCTATGGAGTTTATATAGATCAGGAATAACGTTGGTCCAAGAATTGACCCCTGGGGTACACCATATTGTAGATCAGCCATTTTACTTGAGGTATTTCCATTACTTACAAACTGTGTACGACCATTGAAATAATCTCTGGAGAAATATAATGCATTTCCTGTTATTCCATAATCTTCCAAAATAGATAACAGTACTGAGTGATTAACAGTATCATATGCCTTCTTTAAATCAAGTGAAACAATGATACATGCATTGCCATCATCCACATGATGTCTGATGTTGGTAATCATATATGTGACGTTGTGCTACTTCCACTACGAAAACCATACTGTTCCTTGTACCAAAAACTATTTTTTTCAAGATAGGAAACAAGCCTTTGATTAATACATTTTTCCAGGACTTTGGAATTTAATAGAGATATCGGTTGGTAGTTATTAGTGGAAGTTCTTAGCCCTCCTTTAAATAATGGTAAAACTTTAGCTTCTTTTGGTCCATTGAAAATTGAAGCATGAGTGAAAGTTAAGTTTATTAAGTTACTTAAGATAACCGACATCTCGTTTTTGAAATGTTTGATAAGTCCTCAGAGATACCATCAGCACCACAGGTTTTTCTCGATTTTAACTCTGAAATTACTTTGTTGATTTCTTGAGGGGTAGTTAACTCCCATTGATATAGTTGTTGACGGTTTATAACTGTAGGTTTCGTGTAAGTAGACTCCGGTATATTTTCTGCTAAGGCTTTACATTTCTGTAAAATGGGTGTTAAGAATATCTGCAATTTTCTTAGGAACTTCTATTATAGAGTCATCTTCTACTTGCAGTTTATTCACTGTGTTTTGTTGCTTTGATATTTTATTATGAATTAACAAGTTTAACGCTGACCCTATTTTTCTTGGATTACCTAGGGCAATTGTTAGCTGATATTTTTTTGCAATAGATATAGCTGCTTTCAAGATAGTTTGACTGTTCTTGTATTCACTGTCAAGCAGAGCACTATTGAGAAAAAACTTATGCCTTTTATAACACGTATCTCTGTGCTTGATTAGGTTATGCAAATGAATGTTAAACCATGGACAACTTTTAGTTCTAAAACGGTATTTATATGTCCTACAGGTGGTATTGCTTTGGACTGTTCTCACTATTTGATCACACAAGACATTTGGAACCTGCCACACAGTGTGCTGCAGAAAAGAAGCAAAGAATTGTGTGTGTGTGTTTTGTTTGATGGTCTTGATCTCAGATCAATTGGCCCGAGCTAATGTTATTAAAACGAATCTAAACCTACTTACAATTTTCACAAATTACAACAATACAATCATTAATAATGAAGGAAATAAAGTCTATTGAAAGTACAAAATGTACATTTTATTTACAATTAAACAAGAGTTAAAATAGTTGTTACAATTAATTATACATAATTATATTTTAGGCGACGAATTTCATTTTTTTTATAAATATATATTTCTTTTTTTGTGTTTTGTTTTTTGTTTTTTTTATTGTTTTTTTTTTCTGTTTTTTATTTGTTTTTTTTTATTTCCATTTTTTATTTATTATATCTGATTTTTTTTAAATATCTTGATTAATTTTTTTCAAATGTTCATATATAACATGATACAGTTTTATATTTTTTGAACATAAAAGCGCATCTAAGTTGGTGGGGAGTGTTACTGTTAATTGCAGGTTCTTGTAAAATTCTTTGTTAAGATTTTGAAAATTAGGACAGCTAAAGATTAGAGCTGTAAAAGTAACGAGAAAACCAATACCCGTATGTATTCGTTACTTCAGATCTGACTACCCGTATAAAAATATTCGTTACTCGTTACTTTCGTTATTGTGATGCGAATCTACAGAACATGCCGCGCATTGGCCTCGCACACGTCTAATGCGGATGCGGAATTGGTGTCTAACTAATCGTACGTACGCATTAGACTTGTTTTGGTTCTTTCGGAGACTAGTTCAGAATCACTGAATTACACTCGATCAGCTAAGAGGTTGTTATAACCTCGCGACGTGTTCTTAAAAAATTAATTCGTCCACTGTATTTGAGAACTGGAATCGATGGTTCTGTTTGAACCAAAACAAACCCATTGGTTCGGTGTTCGGTTGGTACTGTCTAACAGGGGGTGCGGATGAGATTAGATATCGAATCGATGGTTAATTAAATACGTAGCGAATTTGTAATTAGTAACAAAGTCGTGTAGTTCACTGAGCATGAGCAATGACGTAAAGTTTTGCAAAATAAAATATCGTCAGACAGAAACATATATATTTTTCTAACACACTAGTAGAAACAATAATAATACTCCATAAAATCATAACTTAAATAAACAAAAACATATTATATTCTTGCAACACGCTAACAGAAAAACAACTATTATACTATTCTATAAAACCAAAATAATAAGTCCCAGTCGGCGTGCGACTTGATAGTCGATAGCTCGATTCGCATCAGACTCACACTCGCATCTTGCACACCAAACCGGTATGTTTGTGCGATATGCGACGATGCGGATTCGAGTAACGAAGTAACGAAATTTAAAATGCAGTAACGAATTCGTATTTCGTATCTGACCGACTACTCGTTACTGAGTAACGAATACATACGGTTTGCCACAGCTCTACTAAAGATTAAATGTTGTAAATTACCCAATTGCCTACAACTACAGAAAGGGGAATTTGTCAAACCTATCTTAAATTTGTCAGGATATAACCCATGTTTACATCTTATTATGTTTATAGTTTTAATCATGGCTTTCTACTGATTTTGGGATGTATCTCTCGAAATCGTACTCATTCTTAAAAAAAGATTTTAAATCCGAGGATGGCATCAGTGGTTTGTCTAATAGTATTCCAGAGTTTGTAGCTAATTTTGCAAACTGGTCTGCTATTTTTTATTACCTATGATACCTTGATGACTTTTGATCCAAACCAAGGAAAAGGTCTTTCTTACAGTGATGAGAATCTAGCTGTTTCTAAAATCTTCGTTACTAGTTATTACTACTGGTAATGTACTTGAAATTTGTATATTTTTTAAATAATCAATAGCGCTTTTGCTGTCTGTCAGAATTACGAAATTGGATTTATCATGATTAATGGCGTATTTTAATGCTTCTAATATTGCTATAAGTTCTGCCGTGGAAATGGACATTTGAGTTGGTAATTTAAACATCCGTGATACATTGTCGTTGGAATGGTATAAGGCGAATCCAGTCTTGTTTTCAATTTTTGATCCATCTGTATAAATATATTCGGCGTCTGGCCATCTGGTACTGGTATTGTTAGTAAAGTGGTTTATGATGTTCCGGCACTGCACGTGTTCTGACTGAAGGTAGTAAAGCTGTAGTTGAAGATCTAAAAGATTATATTCTAAGTTATAACAAGGAAATTTGTTGTTTTTATAAAGGAAGGTCTGAACATTATTTAGTCTTTATAAACTTGATATTAAAAGGGGTTTCTTCTTACGTCTCCAATATGGATAATTTATTTTAGCTTTTAGTTCTTGCAGCTCTCTAGTGCAGTTTGGATACAAAAATATTGCTTAAGTATTCTCTTCTAATTTCTAGTGGTGGTTCTGCTGCTTCTACTTTTAATACATTTACAGGAGTACTTTGTAAGGTTCCTAGGCATAATCGTTAAACTTTTATTTTTAATCACTTCCACTTTTCCCATATAGTACACATCCATAGTCAAGCAGTGAACGGATAAGAGCTTTATAGAATATCAGGGCTATGTTTGGATCCGCTCCCCATTTGGTATTTGAAAAGGCTCTAAGTACATTTATAGCATTCTCCCTTTTTTAACGAGATGATTAATATGATTTTTGATTTAGTATTACCCCAAGATATCTAACAGATGATTGACATGGAATCGTAAGAGGACCTAAATTAAATTGATATGACGCCTGGTATCGATGATGAGTGAAAATGCATATAACTGATTTCTCTTGAGAGATTTCGAAACCATTTCTACTCGCTCAACGTGTTGCTCTTTCAGGTGCTATTTGCAAATCTACTATTGTATTTTTAATTAATTTTTTTTTTTAGAATATGTACAGAAATCATCTGCAAATTGCAGCACTCTTATCTGGGATTGCATAATGAAGTTCAAATCTAATGTATATAATATAAATAGAAGGGGCTACCTTGAGGGATACCGATAGAAGTTGATTTAGGGGGACTAATCTGTCCATTTATTTTTAAATATAATTTTCTATTTTTGTAAAGCATGATGATGTTAGTCATTATTCTTTCAGGGATACCTAATGTTAGAAGTTTCCCGGCCAAAATACGCAAATTAACTGCATCGTAAAGCATAGAAGAGTCCGGTTTTAAATGAATATTTAATTCATGGAGAGGAATTTTGGAACAACTTGGTATTCTCCTATGAAAAGTCGTTCTAATCTTCTAACAGCGGAAGGAAACTCAAAATTATACGTTGGGTAATACTAATAGTGAGGAAAGCCAAAGAAAATTCCTGAAAGAAATTCTGTGACGGCATTAAAAGCCTTCCAGAATGTGCCAGACTCAGGAAAACTCTACAGAGAGATAAGCAAGGATGCATGGGATCTCTGAAAAATCAACAAGGAGAACTCACAAAAACAGAGGAGGAGACCTTAGATTTACTACTAAAGTCACACTTTCCTGGATGTGAGATTATTCTTGACCAAGAGAACAGGAGTACTGAGGTGCTAATTTCTAGGGCCCCAAAAACAAACTGGTCTCTTGCAAACTCAATAGTAAATAGAACAAAACTAGTGTGGGTGATAAATTCTTTTCAACCATACAAAACAGCTGGACCTGATGGTATAATCCCGGAATTTGTACAAAAGGGCCAGGTAGTACTGGAGGGACCATTGTGTAAACTATTCCGAGCTAGCATAGTCCTCGGATATGTTCCACAAAGCTGGAGGTGTGCAAGAGTGATCTTCATTCCCAAACCCGGGAAAGCGTCGTACGAGGAGACCAAATCTTTCAGACTAATCAGCCTAACATTTCTCCTAAAAACATTGGAGACATTCACTTTTATTTAATATATTTATTAACGATATAATAGTATGCTTTAAACATTGTGAGCTCTTAATAGTAAGAGAGCCCACTGCAAATTTCGACCGTCATCTGATAACGAAATGAAATATGCAACAAAGGCATGTAACAATATTGTACTTTACCAAATTGCACCTGTGCCAATCCCTATCCTGAGCAAAGTGGCTAAAAAAAATATTTTATATTCAAAAATCACAAAGGACATGACAGCGACAATTTTGTTTGTCCTAAAAATTACAATCCCAATTCATTATGAGCTTTTAAACCTGAATTATTAATATTTTTACCTACCTTTTAAACCTTGTACATGTGTGAAAGGAAGAAGGATGGCATTGTATGAACCATTTGCAGATATAGTCAATAATTATTATAAAGTCTTGTTAGACAATTCTTTTAAACCATAATCATAGTAGTTTTTTTGTCGTTGCTATGGCAACCTGTAAAAATGAATCACAACAACAGGAATACAAATAAATTTTTAATTCAGCAAAAATTGATTCATATTTTTAAAGATTTTTACCTACTAATCATGGATAGATGTTTTTGTGTGATGCTAATAGGAAGAAAATGTTTCTCTTTAACGATATATATCAAGATATATTTGAATATGTTATTTTCTGGAAAACTTTAAGGGCAAACAAAATTAGCGCTGTCATACCTTGTGTTTTTTTTAATATAAATTTTTTTTTTAACACCATGCTCAGGATTGGGATAGGCTCAGGTGCTATTTGGTAAAGTACAATGTTTTTATATGCTTTTGGGGTATTTTTCATTTCGTTATCAGAGGACGGTAAAAATTTGCAGTGGGCTCTTGGGCTATAATGTTCTTGGATGACCTAAAGTTGTATAGACCAATTTACTCATCTAACGATCAAGCCTTCATTCAGAATGATCTCGACAACTTAGTTAAATGTTGTGACCATAACAACATACAGTTGAATGTTAATAAATGTTGATTGATAAGCTTTTTAAAGGGAACAAAAAATGCAACTCACAATATTACATTAATGATAAGCCACTATCTCAGGTTAACTCAGTTATTTTAGGTGAACAATTAGGATTTATTGATCATAAAAATTCAATATCAATAAAATCATTCCATTGCTTAGGGTTAATATTGCTTAACTGTTCTGATTTCTCTCTAGAAGCCATAAAAAGATTTTATCAAACATTGGTTGTACCTTAGTTGAAGTATGCTTCTGTAATTTGGTCGCCACGAAATATATACAATGTCTAGCAGTGGAAAGAATACAAAATAAATTTCTATGATACTGTGCCTTCAAATTAAATATTTAGGTAACTGATCTCAGTTATACTAGGATTTTAAATGAAATGAATATGAGCCGACTTAAGTACAGGAGACTTATATAATAATAATAATAATAATAATAATAATAATAATAATAACGTTTATTTGTAGAATGATACTGATAAATAAAAAAATTACATATTATACATTAAAATAAAATCATGCTACAAAAAAGAGACAGCAGACAGCAGAGCTGATACAAAGTGCTACCCCTTTAATTATTTTTATAAATTAATATCACATTGTATACTACTTAATTTAATTAAATATAATTAACTTTAATTAAACACAATTAAACATAACTAAACATAACTAAACATAATTAAATATTCTCAAATACTTGTATGTAAGTACTTATTATATTTTTCCCTAAATGTACCTACTGTAAGATGCTTTAGATGCGAAGGAACCTGGTTGTAAAGTTTAAAGACCATATAGGAAAACGATGCCTGGAACTTAGAGGTCCGATGGTAGGGAGGTGAGATATGCCCCCTAAATCTAGTATGCACATTGTGCACATCGCTGCGAAATGTTATTCTATTATATAAATAGGGTGGCGATTTAAATAATATTATTTTATGAAAAAATGTTACCATATGAAGATGCCTTCTACTTTCCATATTTAACCAATTAGCTTCCTTCAATTTATAACTGATCCTTTCATATTTTCTAATACCGTATATATAACGAAGACAAGAATTTTGAGCTCTTTGAATTCGATTGGCATCTGAGTTATCTATGCAAGGACCGTAAATGACATCACAATAATTAAAATGACTTAGAACCATAGTATCACACAATAAAATTTTTGTTTTTTGATCTAATATATGACGATGAGGAAAAAGCATTTTTAAATTTGCGTATGCTTTTCTTACACAGTTATTGACGTGTATTCTAAATCTTAAATCCGTATCTAGCTGAAGACCCAGATTTCTAGCAACATCAACACAAGGAACACTATCAGATTTGAATTTTATCTATGGATTATTAAATGGTCTAGTCATATGACTGGAACTCTTAGAAATTATTTCTTTCATATTCCTAATTAGTGTCCTTAGCCAATTAAATATGTTCCATGTTCCATTTCACAATACAAACTATGGCATGAATGTATCTATTGAAAGAACATTAAGGATAATAAATCAATTGAATCTTAAGGTTACAGGCATTTTAATAAATTTAAGGCAATCTGTACGAATACACTGGAGTAAAAATGAAATATTACAGATGGATTTACAATATTTAAAATGCATTTATTAATCTAAAACTTAATTTTAACTTTTTTTCTCTTGCTTGTATTTTTTTAATTTAATTTATAATTTACAATTATCTGTATCATTTATATGTGTTTTGTTTTGTAATGGGGTTGATCCCATTTAAATAAATAAATTGGATACTGTTTATGTAAAATTTATTAAAAGCCATGCCAAAAATATTTTTTATAATCACATTATTTTCTAGTTCAAGTTTGATTAAATCATTTGACTTATTATTTTTTTTGGAGTATCACATTAGGGATGCCACCTATGCAGTTTTACCAGGACTGTCCGGTTTTTTAAGTGTCCGGTGCCACGATGAAAATGTCTGGGAATACCTGGATAACTGTATAATTTTATTTTCGATACGTCCATCCTATTGAATAAATAATAATAATGTATAATGGAGAATGCCGAACGCACCTAAGTAGATATGTTGTATTCTCTAATACAATAAACTATAACTAAAGGAAATGTTTTATTATTCAAAATTTTTGTAGCTTAATTTTATGAGAAAATATTTGCTTATAGGTTTGTCGTTTAAATAAATTGGAATTGGGGGGGGGTTCAATTGATTTAAATTATGAATGATAAATTTGTGGTTAAATTTTATTAATAATAATGCAGCAGGTATGTACATGTCCGTATACCCTGGCTTGGATAAATCATGTCTGGGTCTTGGGAAATGAAAAGGTGACAACCCTATATCACGTAAAGACAAATTTAAGTAAAATCATAGTTATCACAAACGTGTTTTATTATCTTACTTACCTGGATATATTAACATATTACACCCGTCTAATCTATACAGCTTGGCCAATTCCTCAAACCTCAAATCATAGCAAATCCCCAAACCGATCTTAATACCTTCCATAACAAAAGTAACAAGCTCATTACCAGCACTTAAAATATCAGACTCTTTAAAAGTAATCTTCCCAGGTATATCAATGTCAAACAAATGCATTTTCCTAAATTTGGCTATCAAATTTCCATCCGGATTCCACACAGTGCAAGTATTGTAGTACCGTTTATTTTCTACTTCAGGAAAAGTTCCGCCGACTAGGTAAATTGAATGTTCTTTAGCTGCCTTTGATAGCATTTCGCATGTGGGGCCTTTCGGTATGGTCTCAGCGTATTGCTCGAAAAAATTCGTACCATAAGGGGAATTAAAACATTCTGGTAAAGTTATTAGTTTGGCTCCTGCATTTTTAGCTATTTGTATGTGTTTTACAGCGTTTTCTAGATTTTTTGTTAAATCGGTACCTACTTGCATCTGGATCAAAGCCGTTCGAAAACATCTCTTCATGATGGACTTGTTTCTTGGTTTTGTATCGGTGGAAAAATAACTTAAAATGTATGTTAGATGTATGAAATACCTATTTACTGTTAGTACAAACTTAAAAATTATAATTAAAACAGAATGTTTAGCCAAAAAACACCCAGATAGTTACTATTTTTCAGACATCTTATCTCTTATCATATCATTAAAAAAAAGACAAAATAAATGTTATTTTAAATCTTGGATCAAATAGCAATATTGTCAGAGTTTTTATATTTAAACTCTAACCTTTATGGCAATGGTGGTCTTTGGGTCGATTTTAAGATAATCTATCAGATTTCTAATTCAAAATCTGTAAAAAATACATTACTATACTATATATAATTTAAAGCTCACAGGATATTTCTCAATGTAGATTCAATATGCAATTAATATGTCCCATAAAATTGAAATAATTCCTCTTTTATAGTAAAATTTAATAAATCTGTCAACATTGTTTGAGATGTCAAAAGTTGTTATTAATCGTATTATAAATGCGAGCTGTAACGTCTGGCAGCATTGCCGGATTGTCTTAAATAGCGGAAACACTGGGTAACTGCTCGGAAGATTATAATTTAGTTATAAAAAATAAATATCAATATTGGACTCTTTTTAGCAACAAGCTAACTTAACTTTTACCCGTGTCACAGATTTATAAAAAAAGAATATTAATTTATATGAAATTATGAGTAAGTAAAAATTGAGAAACTATACTGTTGAAGCGACTAACACGCACCTAAATTATTTTTTATAAAAAAACTAATTAATTTTCATATACGTATATGAGTTTGGGTCAGAGCTGGGTAATTACATGTACTTTAAAAATAATTACAATAACAAAGTACTTTTTCAAAAAAGGAATTAATTGCAGCGACTTTCTTAAGGATTCCTTAAAGTTAAAGATATTTTAAGGGCGGGTTGTATGAAGCTTACTTAAGGTTAAACTCGGTTTAAGCAGGTGTCACATGATACATTTTTTATAGCATAGGTGCAGGCTAAACACCATTTAGCACTTAGGGCTTGTTTCCCCAAACAATAGACTGGACCTATAGTATCGGAAATTGAAATGCATCACCTAAAACTGAGCTTCACTTTAAGTAAGATTTATACAACCAGCCCTAAGCCTTATTATTATTATTTTCTTCTTATTATTTTCTATACCTGAACTTAAGGGAAAAGACGAAATTCATAACAAGTATGAAGTAGTATAAAAAACGGAACAGGAAAGTTAATAATAAAACGTAAGCTTTTAAAAGTTTATTGATTCGGAACAAAAATACAAAGTTCGTGTACCTATAGGCCTAGGTACTTTTATATTATAATCACAACATACAAATCGGGCATCATTAGTCTGGGGCCGTTTAAGCAACCCCATAAAAACTGCTCTATGCATTACTTTATACTATTATTTATGCCGTTTATTTACTTGATGAAAATTTGTTTAAAGAAATAAATGAATACTTGTCTAAACATTATTAAACTATTAAAACTGACACTGTAACACCCTACTATTACGGCAACCCAACATACACATGTGTATATAAAGTTGCCTACCCTTGGACATCATTCCAGATCGATATTGTGATCGAAAGAGATAGATGTAGATGACAGTGTATACTTTACCGCGTCTTCGAGAAACCCTGTTTTTTCTTATTGGTTTTCAGGGAAGACAGACAGAATTAAAATCAGACAAAAACCCATATATTTACCATTACCGATCTAGTTAGCTCACCAAAATTAAATTATGATGCTGTCTACAGCAAGGAGACTTTAATAAAAATCAGAATTTTAATAAATAACATGTTAGCACACGGCATGACATCGGCCAAGGCTCTGTTTGGGGTCATCGCGGCAGGAACACTTCCAGGATGCCCAGGAAGAAATCCACTCGCGAGCATTTTTATATTGTGAAATACGATTATGCATATTTTTAATGTTAATATTGTTAGTTAAAAATTGTACATATTTGAATAAAGACTTTTGAAATTGAAATTGAATTGCGTCTTCGAGAACTCAGGTCAATTCTTGTCGTTGAAACAATCTTTCTTATATCTTGTGTTTTTGCCTTTGATATTCATTTATTTTTAACATATTTCCTTTGTCAAATGTAATGTTAGTTTGTAGTAAAGTTGTTAAGTGTGTAATATACTAATGCCACTAAGTTTTAACAGTTTTAATACGTTCCAAAAATAAGAAGGGCTCTCCGAACCTACGAAATATATATAGCATCCACCACCCTTGCTATAACACAGAGTAGATGTATTATTTTAAAGTATTGGATAAAATGATTAGTTTTTTTCTCGTTATTATTATACACATCTTCATTGGTGAAAATGATTTCAAGTACTTGTTGCTATGAGAAACTATTCCCCCTACTTTTTTCAAGTTTGGTCGCTTTAAAAACTTATTTTATAGTATTTTAACCAAAGCGTCTGTATGTAATGTCCCCGTAGCACATATTTTGTTGAATTAATGGTTTAAGGTGTTTTTCTAAAAAATAAAACATATTAAAGTGAGGTTCATATGAAGAACAGGGTTGATTTGATAACGAGATAACAGGAGAGTTTGGACGAATGAAGGGCTGCTGTAATAATGTTATGAAAGTAAAAGCCAAATAAATTTAAACTTAACGTTTTTAGTGAAGTTTACTAGTTCGGTATACCACAGTTCCAATAATGTCACATAAATAATATATAAAAACAAACAACCATGAAAAAGTAATGACAATGTCCACAGATCGATGCTAAAACTATTATAAAATGGCTGTCCTGAGAAGGCAGCCAGACGAAGAACATAATGCGATGCACGCGCGGGACTATGCCATCAGCCAATGACGAATGACGACCATACATGTACTGCAGGCAGTGTCCTAAAAACAAAGACGTTTTAAACATGTCCTGAGCAGTACTTCTTTAAGATGTAGTGTGCTATCTGGGAAGAAAGGCAACGATTACCAATATCCATTGGCCCCGACTACGGGGGATCCGGAGTCAGGGTCTCCTCGAAAATACTCCCTTTACGGTAAAGAGTACTTGTTATTTAGTCACTATTATTAATTAATACACTTTATTTCGATAAATAACAATAATCCAGTGGCGTAGAATCAAGGGCTAAGCTAATTTTTAAACACCCTATATTTCATAAAACTTAAGATTCCTAATTATTCCTCTCGTAACTTTTCACAAAAAAGGGGTTCTTAGCCTTACTCACACATGGAAGTTATATGTTCACATTACAAAATTCCCAAAGTGCAAATTTTCGTTAAGGGCTGATTTAATATTCAATCGTAGGTTCATTAACTAATGGGACAATTTAGTCCATAAGATCTTGGTTTCATTAGTTAATGGACCTCTTAATATTCATTATGAAATCGGCCCTTGATTAAATTTTACATAGATTTCATGTTTGAATAAGACTAAAAACTGAAAAATCTCCGAAATGGAATGTTGTGCCTACATAGATTAACAAAAAGGCCAATAAATTGTTTATTCTGTAAATATAAAACATTAAAACAAAATGAACAATAAAACATAAAGGTGCGTGTAAATAAAACGAGTCGTGCCTGAACCACGCCAAAATCCAACCAGTGTCGTGTCCATTTAAATCTAACGAAATAAGTTCGTTGTTGGCGCGACTTGCCATGTTTATACAACCTTTCGATATTTTCGTCAATGTCAGATGTATTCGACAATCCATTTTTTGTGGATCCTCAGACGAACGGTACTTGGTAAAGTCGAGAGCGTCGAAAGGAGGAGGAGTGAGAGATTGCTGAATGTTTCGTTCTGACATAGGCAAAGCAGGCTCGTATATTTGATCTTGTCAAATCTGTATACTTTATTGATGTTGATGACGACATAAATAACTAAAGACCGGACATTTTAATCGCGTTCAAATAATTGGTTTTAATCACATAGGCGTCTCATTCTGGGTTCGCTATTTAAGACGGCAGACAGTGCGGCAGATTCTAATACTATCAGGACAAACCTCTTTTTTTTATTAAAACAAGATAAAAAAAGTGTACTGATATATACATAGACATTAAAACTAATACAAAAAAGTGAGATTTTTTTTTATCGTGTACCTATATTCTTTGTCTTTTGAATCATTTTCATTAAACAAATTTAATGTTTTCTTCTCACCAACGCCGAGGATATGTAGGATATTTTACAAAAGTTTTTAGTAACCTCAGATCCTTTAATTTGTGGCCTGAGAAATTTTCCTTAAAAAAAAATAACTTTTTTGATGAAGATGTTAAACTTTTCATAAGCGAGTTTAAGGTGTAGTAATGTAAACGATATTCTGTATGATATTTTTTTTATTATTATCTCTTATATAATTACAAAATATCTATTCCTCAATATTTTGGCGTGGTACACTACTCTCCTGCCTAAAATGAGGATCGAGGACCCCAGCTGCCTCCCCCGAATTTGTTATTTCCTCCAGAAAATTGGAAATTTCTAGCCTTAGCTGGTCCCGATTCATTGTTGGAGAAATTGCATCGGGGCCAAATATTAGGACTCTACGAGCGTTTGGACTAAGACGCTGTAGAGAGGGCCTAAAATGAATGTCAAATAGGCCCATCATATGTTGTCTTATACTTTCTCGATCCATTGTCGGTTAGTTGCCGGTGATATTTTTATTCAAATAAAGTCAATCCTTATATTATATTTATGAATATTTTGGCTTTTATCGATACCGTACATACCGATTTTTTGTAACAAAACATTTATGTTTTTATTTCCTGTGGATATTATGGTACTTATACACGATGAGACAATAAAATAAATGTCTGTTAAATTTCTGTAATGTATGTATTAATTCAATTGCTCACTCTATATAGGTATCTGTTGGTTGAAAAAATGTAAAAAGATAACAAAGAGTCGATAAACAGGAGATTTGAGAAGAAAGTGTCTTGTAAAAATATCACTAGATTTTTCCAATGAGTATATTTGTTTAGTTCAAAGGGAAAAGTGATAGAAACTGGAAACGTAAATATGGAAAATTTATTATCGGACTTTGATTGTTTTCGTCGTTTTAATGACAACAAATTATACTGCCGCAATTGTGATCAGGTGTTAGTTTTTAATGGAAAGTCAAGTATGACACAACATGTGAAAACACAAAAACACATGCAATCTTTAGAGGGATGTCCAGACAAAATCTTTTATGAAGATTTATGCAACGCATTT